CAAGTAAAAGAAAAGGCAGATGAGATGTATTTGTACAGGAAAGATGGAGACTGCTGTTTGCTTTATGATAAAATTATGCTACTCAGACTTTAAAACTCCTCAGATATGTTGATTACTAGCTCTTTTTAGGCACTAAAAATTTAAGCTGAACCTGGTGGTTCAGTCCTCAGGTTGGAAGCTGAGGCAGGAGGATGGCCATGAGTTTGAGTCCAGCTTGGTTTATGTAGGACCAGCAAACCAGGTCTACAAAGCAAAGTCCTGTCTAAGAAAGACCAATAAATAAATAAATAAACATTTCAATGTAAAAATTCATGAACATTTACTTATTTAGAGTCTTTGTATTATGCAGACTTTTTTGTAACAAAAAAAGTGCTGGTCATGTGTCAAACATTTTTTTTCAACATACTTTATATTTGTTAACCAATTTCCTTCAGTACCATCTGGTAGGTACTGTTATTATCTGTGTCTTATAAAGAAGGAAACCGAGGACAAGACAGGTGAGAAACCTGCCCAGGATCTCAGAGCAAGGGTTTGGCAGGGTACCGTCAGACCTGGTAGCCTAGCCCCATCACCCCTGACTCCAGATCACTGCACTGTACCCAGGGCTCTCACAGACTACAGGTGTGCAGGATCCACTGTAGGTAAGGACCATGGCGATGATGTCAGGGTAGTAAGATGATATTTATTGAGCACCATGTAAAATACGTATAAACCTTCACATAGACATCCTCCACCCAACCCTCCATGTAGGTGATATGCCCACTTTCTAGATCAATAAATGGAGGCTTCCCCAGGGAGAGGGATTTGCATAGGCTTCTATGAGGCAGAGTCCTCACTGTAGGCTAGGCCCATGTGTCTCCAAACCACAAAACTGCACTGCTTACATCCAATGACTTATTAATGATTCTTCTGTAATTTTCATGTGTGTGTGTATGTGGCGTACAAATGTATAAAGGCCAGACGCTGACGTCAAATGCCTCCCTCGATCACTCTCCCCCTTTTTGTTGGGATAGGGTCTCTCATTGAATCTGGAGCTTACTGATCTAGCTAAACTGGCTGACCAGTGAGTTCCTGGGATCTTCCTGTCTCTGCTCCCCATGGTTGATATTACAAACATGCACTGTCACTCCTGGCTTTTATACAAGTGTTGGGGGTCCGAACTCAGGTCCTCATGCTGGTGCATCTCTACAGCCCCTAGTAATATTCTTACATACTCACACCAAACAGAATAAAGGCCTTCATTAAGTAATCATTTGATGGGGTGGGCTGAAAAATGACCTCATTAACTATGCTCCTACCGGCCTCCTCCTGTCACCAACCCTACCCCCACCCCCAAGAGGAGCAAACCACCCACCCTGCAGAGTTCCCTCAAGCACTCCTGTGAGCTACTGCTGCTTGTGTTAGAAGAGACCGCCAACTGCAGTGTGTCAGTGTGCATGACCAGAGTGTCAGAAATGATACCCTGCATGAGCGGACTGGACGCTGAACAGGAGTCTGTCTCTTCAGACCCTCAGTGAGCACTTCCTTGTTTAGATGCGATGTTTGAATAACATCGTCTCTCTATCTACTCACCCTCCAAATGTTACAAGCGTGTTGTTCCCACATGGCTCAGACATACAACGTGCATCATTTGCACAGGAGCACACCCTGTGATAGAAGCTTTCTGTGTCTGTCTGTCTCAGAGTCCCTCTGACCACCCTTCCCCCATGGTTGCTTTCCTCCATTAGGCAAATGGAGGGCCCGTGCCACCTGTTAGCATTACGTCATTGGCACCCCCGAACACAGTTGCACCCAAGGCCTTAAACAAAGTAGTTCTTCTTGTATTGTTTGCACTCAAAGAGCTGATATCATGCCAAGTGATGTCATTGTGTGTCTTTGTGTAACTGCTATGGCAACTGGGCAGGTGGGGAGCCTCTGGCTGATGTCACTGGGAAAGGAGGTACAGAGGCAGAATTTTAAAAAGCTCTATGCTGGAGTTTTTGTATGTGGTGGAGGAGCGGTTTGGGCATGCTTTCATTTTTTTTTTTTTTTTCAAACTAGCTTTTTTTTTAAGACAAATTACAGCTTGAATCCACTAAATAAGAACCAATAACAGTCTCCTCCCCATCTCCCAGGCACTCTCTTTGAGTTTAGTTTCTTGTCCTTTCCTCCCCACTTATATGGAAAAATGTCACAACTGCCCTTTTCTCAGAAAAAGTGAATTGGGGCCCATCACAGGATCAACGTGGGACTGTTTGCTTGGAGTTCTGTGGGGGACAGGCACAGCAGATTTTAAAGCATCTCTTCGAAGTCCCTTTTGTGGTGTTTGGGATGGTGGTGGTTGGTTGTTTTTACTCTACATTTCTTAAATAATCACTGGTGAAGTTTTTCTGGGTTTTCATCTTTCCTTTATAGCTGAGAAGTTCTTTGGGGGCTCATATTCTGGTATAAAGGATTTCTTAGCAAGGGTGGGGTTTAGTTACAGAAATCAGTTTGAATGAATTTAAAGATTATGTTTTGCTTTCCTGAAAACAAACATTTAAAAATTTTTCTCCTTTTTAGGAGTAATCTAAGCTCTGTGTCACCCTCTTGAGTTTTCTGTGGCGCACCACCATCTCTGAGTGAAAATATGATTCTCAGGTTGAGCCACTGTGTCCATTGGTTGAAAATGATTATGTTCTGTTCAGGTCATTTGGCTGTCATTGGCCAAAGATGACACTTGAAGTGGGAGAAACGTATTGCTGATTATGAAGCTGGGAAACAGATGACTTCCTGTCCTTATGGCAATAGAGCCATGGCCCAGTGATGCTTTGTGGCTTCTGGCCTTATTCCAGGGACTATCAGGTAGTGTGACCAGGTAGATGGTAGATCCCAGTAGCTTTTGGCTTATAGCAGTTTCCAGCATCTCCCCCTTTTCCAGGAGAAGGCCCTGGAATGTCCAATTCACTTGACTGGAATTTTTGTTCCTTGGATGAGTATAACGCCGCCCAGACCTCACAGCTTTCACGTGTATATTACAGAATTTGAGCCTCATAATAATCTTTTGGGTTTATCCATGTGTATGATCATATGTGACATATTAGGGGAAAATTTAAACAATTTCTCTCTTTGTGTATGGGATTTAAGCTTTTGCAGAAAGTTTTTAATTAGTTGTTTTTCATTTAATTCAACAGAAACGTTTTATTTTCATGTACTTTGCACCGTTACTCTTTTAATGGCTATGTAATACTCCATGGAATGAGCATAATAACTTTTAAAAATTTTGGTTTTTATTTGGCCTTTAAAAAATTGTTATCGTTCATGTGTGTTGGGTGTGTATATGTGTGCATGTGTGACAGTGCAGATATAAAATTTGAAGGACACCTTTGTGGAGTCATTTCTCTCACTTTTATGTGGGTTGTGGTGACCAGGCTTATGTGGCAAGCACCTTTACCAGCTGAGCCATCTCTCTGGCCCACTTGGCATTTTCCATTAAGCAGATAATACTATGTGCACATCTTTGCATATCTAACTGAATGCCTGTGGTTGAGGGATTTCCATAAAATACATTTCCATCAGTGAGGCTGTACTTAGGGGGATGTTTGCATGCTAAAAATGGGGAAACAGGTGCAGCTTAAACCTTTGACACGTTTCACACTGGAGGCAGAGCAGGGCCTCGGACTGAGAGCATGCATTGGTTATAGATTCATTAGGGGCCACCATCAGTGGGTTAATGTACCCACAACCTCTAAAAGCCAAGGACAGGAGAATGATCTTCTCTCAGATTCCACTCTACTAGAAGTCATGATCTGCAAATGTCAAGGATCTACATGGAAAAAGTCAAAGCATAGATCTTAAGAATCACTTACCCTGTCCCCACTGACCTTGCCCAAGCATCGCTCTGCTGCACCTACTCTTGTGCAACCATAGAAACAGTATTAATAGAAATAGCTCATCCTTGCTGAGTGGCCATATGAGCCTGAACATGTGGTGAACACTTCACATGTGTTTGTCCTTATTCTGACTCACACTTTAGAGAGAGGCATGGATACCCTCATGGGGGTACTGAGGCACACAGTGAGAAATAAGCTTGAGCAGGGGAGCTGTGGTACTGGGATCACAGACAGCCTAATCCAGCTCTTCCACAGTCCCCACTTGTAACTGCCCTGCTGCATTGGGGATTGTGCTTATTGGTTTTTGTCAATTTGGCACAATCTAGAGTCACCTGAGAGGAAGGAACCTTAACTGAGGAATTTCCTCCATCAGAGTGGCTTGCGTCCATGTCTATCAGGCATTTTCTCGATTGCTAATTGATATAGGAGGGCCCAGTGTACTGTGGGCATTTCCACCCCTGGGTAGGTAGGCCTGGGCTGTGTAAGAAGGATAGCTGAGCAGTTCAGGGAAGCAAGCCAGTAAGAGGTGTTCCTCTGTGGCCTCTGCTTCAGTTCCTGCCTCCAGCTCCTGCCTGGGGTACCTGCCCTGGCTTCCATTAATGATGCACTGTAACCTGTAAGATGCAATAGACCTTTTCCTCCCCGAGAAGTTGCTTTTGGTCCAGGTGTTTATCACAGCAACAGAGAAGCAAACTAAAACAGGGGTGAACTTTACTTTCCGGGCAAGGTGAGTTGTAAAGGGTGACAGATACACATGCCAGGATACAGACAGAAGTTTTCTGCAAGAGGGTGTCATCTCTGCCTTCCTGGGCTCCGGAAGTGCAGGGTTCTATAGAGGCCAGGGATCATATGGTTCTTTGAGGCAAATCAGATTTGTAGCTGATGAAATTACCAGGTACTGCATAAAACTTGTTCCCAGGCACCTTGGCCCAGTTTGTTTAATAATGAGGAGGACAGTTCTTAGGCACTGTAAGCAGCAATGCCCTCCAAAGCTGGCTCTGGATCTCCAAACGGACTTCTAGTTCTGGTTTTGTTTTTAGATATGTTAAAAATGTACATAAGCTACAGAGTGCAGTGATCCCTATGGAGAAGTTGGCATTTTCTGTGGGCTCTGTAATCTCACGCTTGCTTTCTGTGTTTGCCTTGCAGGGGGACTCAGTAGTTTTAAACAGAACCATGAAAACCTCTGTGATAATTCTCTCCAGCTCCAAGAGTGCCGGGAAGTGGGGGGCGGTGCGTCTGCTGCTTCAAGCATGCTACCTCAGTCCGTCCCCACCACCCCCGACATCGAGAATGCAGAGCTGACGCCCATCCTGCCCTTCCTGTTCCTTGGCAACGAGCAGGATGCTCAGGACCTGGACACCATGCAGCGGCTGAACATTGGCTACATCATCAACGTCACCACTCACCTTCCTCTCTACCACTATGAGAAAGGCCTCTTCAACTACAAGCGGCTGCCGGCCACCGACAGCAACAAGCAGAACCTGAGGCAGTACTTTGAAGAGGCGTTTGAGTTCATTGGTAACTAGCTCCCAGGAGAACCTCATTCTCTGCCTGCCTTTCCCTCCAGCTCTGGCTTTGATATGGGATCCAAGGTTTCTTCCTGTGTTAGAAAAACAGAAAAATCCTCATCTAATCCATAGTCCTGTATAGAAGCCATAAACGGTGACCAAAATACCTAAAAAGTTGAGTTGAAGGGAGGAATTATTTTGGTTCATGGTTTCAAACCTTAGCTGTGCCGATCCTCTGCCAGTGGTGGGGCAGAACATGGCAGTGGGGGGAGAGTGTGGCAAAAACTACTCACTTCGTGGTGACCAGGAAGCAAGGAGAGAGAGAGAAGAGAAAGAGAGAGAGAGACGGAGAGCAGATGGAAAAGGAGAGAAGGTGGTGTGGGGCTATCACCTCCACAGACACAGATCTAGCAACCTACTTCCTAAGACCAGGCTCCACCGTCTAAAGCTTTTAAAACCTTCTAAGCAATGCTGCCAGCTAGAGACCAAGCATTGATAGATACATGAGTCTGTGGAGCCCTTCATAGTCTAACCATAACAAGAGCCATTTGCTTTGGTCAGCAGAATTCAAGCAGAACTTCTTAGCCCTCCATTTCTCAATGAAGGGACATGTGGGGGTTTGGGGTTGGTGTTTATATGCCATATAACCAGAAGAGTTGAGGGAACATGAGGAAGTGGTTGGAGCTGGTATTGCTGCCTACCAGGCCCTTCAAGCCCTACACAACACACAATGTGGAGCTGAGGCACTACCTCCAACAGTCCCCATGCCTCCCCAGCACTGTGCCCAGCATTATATGCCCAGCATAGGAAGCGATTTCCTTTCCTTACCTTGAGTCACTAAATCATTGTGGGTTTAGCCTCCTCCCCTAAGGTGGAGCAGAAGTAGCATTTGATACAGGGGAGGGTCTGCTGAATTGAGTAAAGCAGGCTGTGCTGTAGTGTGCCTTCAGTGCAGAGGGGGAGGGTGGCTGAGGTGTTTTCTCCAAGTCTTTTTTTTCTCCCTGTAGTCCCAGCTGGCCTGGAACTCACTTGAACTGACAGAGATCTGCCTGCCTCTGGCTCCCGAGTGCTGGGATTAAAGGCGTGTGCTACCATGCCCAGCTTTATCTCAGTTTTTAAACCTTGATGAGTCAGGTTAATGCTGGTGGAAAGGGACAAGTTTTCTTTGTGTCCCAAAAAGATGAGGCTGTGTAGCCCTTGGAAAATCTATCAACAGTAGCCTCAGCTCTCTAGGAGAAAGTAGTCATCAGCTCAGTGCTAATGGTAAGTCTTGTTGCCTCTGTCCTTTTGAGCTGTGGTAAGACTTAAGGATCACATGGAGAAGTCAGCAATAGCAGGTGCCCAACATTTTTTCCAAGTGACTCCAACTTTTATTGCCACAAAGAGGTGACCAAGTACTTTTCCTCATTGTGGCTATAGGTTATCACTGTCCCAGGAAACCTACACTCAGGTTTATTGTTCTTTTGTCAGAAAAAAAGTTTCAAGTTTAACAGTCACCAGGTTTGATGGATTAGATGGGAAGTTGGCCACTCAGGGCATCTGCCTGCCTGTTTTTATTTTCTGTTGTCCTTCCATGTCAGATGTTGTAGGACATGCCATATTCACTCTAAAAGGAAATTTAGAGTAGTCACTAAACTCAGAGAAGTAAAATGACATGTCTAAGGTCATGGAAGTTTTAGTGTCAAGAAGTGACCAGGGTCTGGGGAGATGGCTGGGGGCGTGAAGAGCTTGCCAACCAAGTGTGAGGACCTGAGTTTGAATCCCCAGAACCCACACATGGTGGTGGATGTCTATATTCCCATCTCTGCTCTAGTGAGATGTGGAGACAGGAGAACTTGCAGAAGCTCACAGGCCAGCCAGCTTTGTGTCTACAGCTGCATAACAAGAGACCCTGTCTTAAACAAAGTGAAAGGCAAGGACCAACATCCTCAGTGATCCTCTGACCTCCACATGTGCTCTGTGGCATACCTATACTTGCATATATATATATACATATGAGGCTGGGGTGGGGTACCAGGAGCTAAGGTTCTTGGCTTTTAGCCAGGAGTCTTTCTCTAGCATGCAGGGGCCATATTTACCATATCTTATTAATTAGTTCCAATATTGGATGCAAAGATGCCTCAGGCTCGCTATTCACAAAATCTGAGCCCAGCCTTGAGCCCCTAGTAAGAAATACTTGTTCCCAAGTAGATGAGGAAGTCCCTAGTTGGTCTGTGTTGTTATAAAGGAGACTCTACCTGACTTCATTCCAGGTGGAGGGAGTTGGAAAATTGTTTTCCATTTAGTGAGTAGGGTAGGCTATGCTTGTTCTAAGAGGATTTCAACCATAGTGTTCACATTCCTGGAGGATTATTCAGGCTTACCTGCACTTTTAGAAGGAAATCAAAACCAGTAACAAGCAGCGTTTAGCCCAGAGAACAATTCAGAATCACAGCATGCCTGGACACAACTTTGTTTTCCTTGTTCTCCGATTGGGTAAACTGAAATACTAGAGTGTCACTTCAGGGGCCCACAGAGCAGGCTCACCACATCATAACATTCACTCAGACTTTAATATAAACTGAGCAGTATTCAGGTTTAGGGTTTAACAATGCCTGTTTATTCCTGAATCAAGTGACATCATCCCATATTTCTTGAGGCTGGTGAGCTAGTGTTGTTCGTTTCTATTATTCAGGCAGGAGAACTAGGGCTCTGAGGAGTTAGGTGACTCACACAAGGTCACTCAGCCAGTGTGTTAGTGGGACAAGTGGTCAAACCCAGCACTTAAGCTGACTCTGACTACCGCGGTTTGTAGTCTTGGTTTGGAAGGTCAGTAGTGTGTGCTCCAGAGAAGATGTTAATAAAGGGAGATTTTTGTGAAGTAGTGTTTTCCTATCTCTGAGAAGCAAGCCATATCTATAGCTTGTTTTTTTTTTTTCTTTTTTGAGACAGGGTCATACTATGTAACCATAGCTTCCTGGAACTCACTATGTAGACCAGGCTAGTCTTGAAGTCAGAAGTGGACAGCCTCTGCCTCCTGGGTGCTGGAATTAAAGGCTCATTTGTAGGCTTTTTTATTAAGTATTTTATTATTTTTATTTTTACTACCTGCATGTATGTGAGTATACCCATGTCATGCAATGCCCACAGAGGCCAGAAGAGGGCATCGGATCCCTTGGAACTGGAGTTATGGATGGTTGTTAGCTGTCATGTGGGTGTCATGTGGAAACTGAACTCAGGGCCTCTGTAAGACCAGCCAGTGCTCTTAACCCCTGAGCCATCTCTCCAGCCCTCCATCTCTCTTCTACAGGTTTTTAAGAAAGAAATTCATATCTTATTTGTCTTAGTTTACTGGTAAGCACCCAGTGGGATGACTTAAGTTAATGGACAACTTTCTTTGTCCCCTTCTTCTCTACCTTATTATTTACCTGTGTTCCTCCAGGGATGTTTCCTTGGAGATACCTTCTAGTTTATGTGTCAATAAAATCTGTTCAGTGCTTACAAGTCATCCCAAGCTTTTATTATATGCAGAAAACTTCGTAAGAAGAGCCATCTCCCTCTGCTGTTCTAGATTCTGCAGCATTATCAGAATCTTTCCATCTTCCAGTGATTGTCACATGGGAATATGTGGAGGGTTGGACACATAGGTGAGGGTGATGGACATGTAGGTGAGGGTGATGGACACGTAGGTGAGGGTGATGGACACGTAGGTGGGGGTGATGGACACGAAGGTGGGGGTGATGGACACATAGGTGGGGGTGATGGACACGTAGGTGAGGGTGATAGACACGTAGGTGGGGGTGATGGACACAAAGGTGGGGGTGATGGACACGTAGGTGGGGGTGATGGACACGTAGGTGGGGGTGATGGACACGTAGGTGGGGGTGATGGACACGTAGGTGGGGTGATGGACACGTAGGTGAGGGTGATGGACATGTAGATGAGGACGATGAGCATGTAGATGAGGGTGATGCTGCAGGTCAGTGTTCTACAAGTTTAACTTTGGCAACAATTGGCTTTTCTGATGAGAAGCTAAACGTAGTAACTTTCTAGCTGAATTTTATTCCTTTCTTTCCATGGAGCTTTAGTAAGGCAAAATTTAGACATTAAATGCCAGTTCCTACAGAGAGTAATTCTGTAGTATAAAGAAAGATGTGTGTGTTTGTGTATTTGTGCATCTGTGGTTGCGTATATGTGTGTGCGCATGTTTTAAAAAATTTATTTTATGTCTGTGAGTGCTTTGCCTGCATGTATGTATGTATGTAGGTGCACCATGTGCGTGCAATGCTGGTGGAGGCCAGAAGAGGGCATCAGCTCCCCTGGAACTAGAGCTACTGCCAGTTGTTAGCTGCCATGTGGGTACTGGGAACTGAATCCGGGTACTTTGTCAGTGCTGTTAGCTGCTGAGCTATCTTTCCAGCCCCAGTTTGTTTGTGTGTGTGTGTGTGTGTGTGTGTGTGTGTGTGTGTGTGTTTCTCTAGCATGTGAGAGACATTATTAATAACACAAATTTTGATGAGTTATACAAGCTGGCAAATGGAATTAACATCCCTAATCCAAAAAGGAATTGTATTATCTATACCTAAATAGGTATACTAATGAGTGTGTGTGTGTGTATGTGTGTGTGCGCGCGGGCGCGTGTATAAATAAAATTTCCCCTTTAAGGCTTTCTCCTCTTCTTTTCCTTCCCTTCCTTTTTATCAGCAGCATGATTTTAGAAATACAAGGAAATAAAAATAGAAAGACCCAGTAACTTTTATGGTGAGCTTAGTGAGAAGTTTGCTTCACATAGATGTGTCGGGCTGTAGGTGTAGCTTTGATCCCTCCATCACCCAAGGCGTGCACTGTTCCATACATGATTCCTTCACTCCAGCTTCTCTTTAAATGTGGACCTACAGGAGCTGGGGAGATGGCTCCTTCCCCTCACCTCCTATTCTCTCTGTCCCTCCAGAGGAAGCACATCAGTGTGGGAAAGGCCTTCTCATCCACTGCCAGGCAGGCGTGTCCCGCTCTGCTACCATCGTCATCGCCTACTTGATGAAACACACTCGCATGACCATGACTGATGCTTACAAATTCGTCAAAGGCAAGCGACCAATTATTTCCCCCAACCTCAACTTCATGGGGCAGTTGCTGGAATTTGAGGAAGACCTAAACAACGGCGTGACACCACGGATCCTCACACCAAAGCTGATGGGTGTGGAGACGGTTGTGTGACAACTGTCAGAATGGAAAGGGCCACCGCTCTGTTTGGAGGCGAGTGGGAAGGAAGATGGATTCTGTTTTTGTTTTTGTTTCTTCTGTTTTCATTTTTTTTTTAAGTTGGGGGTAACTTTTGTGAATGGAAACAAACTTATCTAAAGATGTTTATTTTTAATAAGCGTGCGAAGATTATAACTTTTGATGCCACTGAGATTCACGTCTCTTAAACTGTCAGTGCAGGGAGGTTAAAGAGATCATTTTTTTTTAAGCCAACAAATAAAAATATAATAAAACTTGTTTCTCCCCGGTTTTCCTTTTAAGCTATTGTAGAGTTTTTGAACTATATAGTCTGTGCAGGTTCATAGACCGAAGATACCATACTTTAATTAAAAAGAACCACAAGTAAGTAGAAAAGACATTGACTCACAAAGACCTGGGACCTACCCAGTCAACCATGTAGAAAACAAAATCCTGCCAAACCATGCCCTGTGCTCACTGGTGCGGAGAAGACCGGGTGGCTGTACTCATCTAAGACCCCTTCCCACAGTCTCTGAAGAGACAGGGTATTGTTGGTTTTGTGTGTTTCATGCTCTGGATATTTTTTTTTTCTTGTCTCTGGACTTAAGAGATTTTTGTTTGTTTGTAATAGAAACTGGCCATTATACCCCATGCCTTCTCTGGTACTTGTGCAATAAAAGTGGTATTTTGAGTGTGCAAATGAATTGGAGTTGGCAGCAGAGTGACTGACTTTCCTTCCCTTCCCCCCAGCCCCCCTTTTTCTGGGTTTGATTCTGGTTACAGTGCCATAAACCTTGTTACATATGTATATCAGAATGTAAAAAAAGAAAAATTTATTTAAAAAATATTTTTCGCAAAAAAAAAGAAGAAGAAAAAGAAATCCTGGTGTGTTTTGTTGATTGTGTAAAAATTTATTTTCATTATATAAATGAAACTTGTTTGGGGATGTGTCGTTTTTGTGTCCCCCTCTTTTATCTCGTGAGGACCACACCTCTATTCTGCTGACAACTTGTACGTATAACATAATTAGAAATAAAATAGATGTTTTTATGTAGCGAAAGGGAGGTGAGGGTGTGAAGCAGAGCAAATCCACACAGAGGCCAAAGAGCCTTGACAGTTAATGTGCCCAGGTGCTATCCTTTAATGCTCCTTAGCATCTTCTGTAGGTATAAGGCCCTTACCTCCCCTTATCTTAGAATGAATGGCCTGAAGGACGTGAGTAGTTCCCTCCAACCTCTGAACCTTGATAACCAAATCTCTGCCAAGTGGATGAGTTAGCTCTCCCCAGTGACTGTAAATATCAATGACAGTCTTCCATTCAGGGGCCTTCACAGCCCCACCTCATGGCCATGAGGCTTCCTCACCATCTTGTGGTGACTCACCATGCACTACCAGTACCTGCACATTACAAATAGTATCTCTTCCCAACTTGGCTCTGTATACATACCTGAACCGTGAGAGTACTGAGCATCCAACCCACAGACATTTGGAAGTTGGGTGGGGGGGGAATGTAATCCAAATGTTTTCTATGTTTTGTTGAAATACATGTCTACAGGGACTTAGCCACAGGGAAGACTTGCAGTACACTCAAGTTTGCCTGGCATGAGTAAGCGCTGAAGAATTTTGGCACGTCTGGCTCTATATAACTACATTTGACATAAATATTTTCATGAACGTTTACTTACAAATGTTACACCAGAAATATTTTTACATTAATTTCCTTGTTTCAAATAGCTTGTCTGCCAAAAGTCATTTAAATTTTTCTTTCATTAGAAAAGTGGAAATTGAACTTGGCAGAAATTAACTGAGAGCTGTAGTTGAAATTATTTTAGTTTGATGTAAAGTGTTAACTGGGTAAAAAGTAAATCTCTGTTATGGTATTTTCTACAACAGTTTACTCGCTGAATAACAATTTCCCAGGTGCTAGAGCAGATTGAAAGAGTCAGATACATAAATAATGGTTTAAAATAGAGTAGTTTGGCAGGCTTTCTGGTTTTAAGTCTAAATGTTAAATTTCGAATAGTGTACAAAACTCTTCTCTCTTTCTCTTTTTTTTTTTCTTCTTCTGCAAAGCAAGGGAAAGAATCAATGGCTACATAGACATGATTTATATGTTTTGGAAGTTTATGAGTTTAGAGGAAGGTCTGTCTTGAGGCAGGCAGGAATCCTGCCAACCCAGCATACCAAAAATTCTGAGGACTCAGGTCTTTTCTCCTAATCTGCTCTGACTCACTCAACCTCCATTTCTTCACAAAGAATGTTAATCACTTTGTGACCTTATTGTGAATTAGCCATGTCATTGCTTTAGAAAGCCCTCCTCCTCCACCTACCCCCCCACCTCCTCACCAGTACTCTGGCCCCTCACCACTGCCCCAATCTTTAGGATTAAGCTGAGAAATAATTGTGTGTCTTCTTGAGAAAGTACAGTCTCCATTTCCTGCATCCATCATACTCAGGATCCTGTTATAGTTGGACTATGCTGAATTAATATCATGAATTAATAGAATGAATCTGTAATGTATCTAATAACTTAGAAGGCTTTGTTACCTTAATATAGACAGCACAGCCAACTCCAGATCCCCAGTTAGTGAATATCTGTCAGGCTAGAAGCTTCACACTGCGTGGAAGAGCTCGTACTGGCTATGTTTGGACAAAGGTTGGCAGGGAAGCTGGTAAGAAAACGTGCAGAAAGACACAAAGGAAAAAATATGTATGATTCAGTGATCCCATGTTAGCAACAAAAGAAAGATGATCCCTGAAAAGCTAAGAAATAGGAGAAAATGGAAAGGTAGAGGAAAAACAGAAAAGAACATTCGCAAAGAATTAGGACCCAAATCATACTCCAAAAGTTGACTAAGACAGAAAGCTAATAAATTCTCTAACTCGATCTTACCTTCTGATCAGTAAGAAGTTTGGCAAACCAAATAAGATCAAGTCTTGACCATCGCTTTATTTGTGGATTGGTATACGTACATGTGGGATTTTTTTTCCTCACGATACATGGCAGTCATCCTGAGACAGATGGTGGGATAGTGGGACAGTAGAAAATGATGAAACACCAACACAGAGGAAGCTGAGTCATAAAGTATTTAGGAAGAACGATGTTTAACATTATATCCACTCATAGAAGAGTGTCTGCCTTTGGGGGGTGGTAGGGTTTGAAACAAATGCTGGCCATGGTTCCTGACTGCCTTCTTTGTGACCACTGTCATTAGTATTTGGTGTGAGCTATTCGTATCAGGTTTGATCAGAAGCAGAAGCACACAGGGTTTACTCGAGGTACCACAGCTAAGCAGTGGTGGAATCTCCTGAGGACACTGGCCGAGTGTTCCCCCTGTCTGATAATGGCCTGGAGGCTCTGTGTCAGTTGGACTATCAGAAAGAAAGGTTGGACATGAGATAGAGGAATGAGGATGAAAGATCAAAGGCAAGCTAAGATCCTCAGCAGCCCTTTATCCACCTCCATGTGGGATGCTTGAAAGACCTGGTGCTCTTTGCTGTGGAGCCAAACGTGTCTGGCCAGGAACCTGGAGAAGCTAAAGAGGAGACATGGAGAGAGCTTGGGAGCCGGAATCCTAGCTTCTACTAAGACCAGGTGAGTCAGGATCAGTGCAAATGTGTGCTCATTAGAATTCTTCCTGGTGCCCCCTTTAAAATGTGATGTCTCACTTCTTTTCCAGTCTCATGTGACTTTCCCTTGAGACTTCTTAACTCGGTGTGAGACAGGCAAGTGAATTCTGGAGGATGTTCCTGTTCAGGCTGATTTTGTGGTAATAGTCTTTATCATGTCCTTTCACTGTTCTTCCTTATCCTCTTTGCCCTCAGCAAGCATACCGCTGGTCATGGTTCCATGCCTTGTGAAGGGTCCAGACCTTGACAACTGAGCATTAGATTGTTTACCATTTATTTTAGTATAGTAAACCATAAGCAACCATAAGGAGTACAGTATAAGAGATGCTCCAGGCTTTTAGGTATACTTCCTCTTTATCCTACTGTCTAGGATGAGTCCAGACTACTTATGATGACTGTTATGTCAGATAACACAGTAAAACCTACTTTACTTTAGATTCACATGAGAGCACGTGCCCATGGTGACCAGAAGGGGTCACTGGACCCGCTGGAGATAGAGTTACAGGCAGTTGTGGCTGGTTCACATGGAAGTTGGGAACCAAAACTGGATCCTCTGCAAAAGCACTATAGCACATAGCATCCACTTCAAGCATAATGGAACCATTACTGCATCTACCAGCAGAAGCATTTCTCCTTAGGAGCTTAAGACTAAAACTTTTAAAATTGAGAGTAGAAAGAACAAATTTTGTAAGCAGATCATTAATGATGACCAGAGAAGCTTTTTCCATTTCTATCCTTTGAATCCTGGACCTAGAAGTCCTGGACAAGAAAGGAACAGTAGTATATACTTACAGAAATTACTGCATTCTACACGTCATTACTCTAGCTCTGTAAAGTGTTTCCATCCATCTAGCATAGCAGCAGACTTGCCAAAAGAACCATTGTACTTTTCTACTGCTTCAGAGTGATTGGCTAACACAGTGAGACTAATGAATTCTGAGTATGATCCTGTTCCCACACAATTTACTGCAAAGTTTCCTAGTCAGAGGCCAAGCATGGTATATCATGGTGGTGAATAAGAAGAATTCTGTAAGTACCTAAGTGCTGAATTTGGCAAGTATTATAGGTAGGAAAGGCAAATCCACATGAAGAGTGAGTTTCTACGGAGAGAGGAGAAAGCACTGCTTTTCTAGGACAGGAGTAGTTTTGTCATCAGATATTGGGGAGATTCTGCCAGAGAGTAGTTTGCTAGTTCAAGGACTCAGTGTTGCTTGTTTGGGGTTGGTTTGGACACATTAGTTATAGCCAGAATACCCTTAGCGAGTAGAAGACCACATTGTTGAAATCATACATACTCCATGCCCTCCACCATGGCTCTTTTGAGCATGAGCTCATTGATCAATGGCAAGGAAAACATAACAGAGGTCCACAGAAAAGCTTGACCGTTATTAAGATCCTCCTATTCTGAGGTTGAATTTTGGTGGGCATGGGACATTCTGTGCCCACGAGAGGAAGCTGATCCCTTTAATTCTTCTTGGGATGTTCCTGCCCACCAATTTGGCTTATTCAATCATGGTTCTTCTTCTGATCAGCTGCCCAGACTGTAAACTACTGCTCATGAAACACTAGATATCTTTGATTCTCTCTCCTTTCAGAAAAAAAGTCAACAATCATATTCAGTGATGGAAATTCTGATCTCTGG